TCTACCGCACGCTCACGCACATCGACTCCATCATCCACAACTACGGGCTGCAGCTCAACGAGGGCCGTACGGGCGATGAGTTCCTGCTGCTCTTCACCATGGCCTCTAACCACCCGGCCTTCAGCTTTCACCAGAAGCAGGTGCTGCGCCAGGAGCTCACGCAGATTCAGAGCAGCCTGAGCAGCGGCGGCGGCGGCGGGGGCCACGGGGGCAAGAGCGCACTGCCCACCTGTCCGTCCTGCCACAAGGTGCGTGCCCACGCGGGAGGCGGGCCCGGCGCCCCCACCCGCACCGCAAGCTTCCAACCCGCTCCCCAAAACGCCCACCACCAAGCCTCCACCCCGAACGGAAAACACTCGCTCCCGAAGCTTTCACTTGAGATCCCAAACCCTCACCTGAACCCTAAACTCATACCTGCACCCCCAAGCTTCCATCCTGTTTCCGCAGCCGCCAACCAAGCTTTCACTCCGCGTTTGTATCCCAAGCCTCCACCCTGTACCCTATGCCCTCACTCCAAGCCCCTGCCGCCACTTCCACCCGCAAATCCTGCACCCCAAGACCGGTCCGGTACCTCGCGCCCTTGAGGCTGTTGCACCCATCCATCTCGCCCGGGTTAGTCGGGGAAGTATGGGAGGACGCACTCACGGCTCCCTTAGAGGGACAGATAACCCCAGTCAGAGGTTGCGGCCTCAATTACATGGTTTCTCCAAATCTGATGGTTATTACTAGAAAAGGAAGCCGTATGAGATAGAGAAGGCTCTAGGCCAGTGGTTCTCAACCTTCCTAATGCCGCGACCCTTTAATACAGTTCCTCATGTTGTGGTGACCCCCAATTTCATTGTTACAAATTGAACATAATTAAAGCATAGTGATTAATCACAAAAACAATATGTAATTATGTATGTGTTTTCCGATGGTCTTAGGTGAAAGGGTCCTTCGGCCCCCAAAGGGGTCGCGACCCACAGGTTGAGAACCGCTGCTCTAGGCCTTCGCAGACAATCGCGGGTGTCATGTGGCTCCTCAGGCCTGGTTGTGGGTTTCCCCTAAGTGGGCAGGTGTAGCCGCTGGAGCGGTCAGATGGGCAGGTGGGACCGCGGAGTGGGCACGCGTGTGAGCCCATGTATACATGTATTTGTGTGCTTGTGAGTGCATGTATAGCACTGATGAATATGTATGCTTATGCATATGTGTAGATATGTGTGTATGAACTTATGAATGCACATCCGTATCTGTGTTTATGCTTGTGTTTAACAGACAGTTGCATGTGAAACAGTTATTTCTCAATGTGAGACAAATCCCAGGCTTGGAGCTCGAACGTGTTGAGGGTATCAGTCCCCTGAGGAATGCTAGGTTAAGTTAAAGATCTCCAGTCACTAAATTAAACAGGAAGGGTATCATGGTCATCCACTTAGAAATGTGAACTTTTGTCTAAATGTTTCAAAACTATGTAACCAAAGTGTTTGGGGCTCAAACTTGTTTTTTATGGCCCCTTGCGACCCAATGCCAAAATTGTGCCCCGAGGGGGAAAGAAGGATTTTCTCTGATCGAGTGTGTTGTATTTAGATAACACACTGACTTTGGGAAGCAAGAGATTGCAGTCAAAGACCAGTACGTAGTGCTGAATATCTTTCGTTGACAGTGCCTAAGCTCTTTTAAGTTAAATGTTTGATACTCTCTGGTTTGCTGCTGGTGGTTTTAAGTTCTCTTTCAAACCTGAACTGTGGCTTTTCTTCTTTAATGTCTTCCTGTAAGAAGTGGTTGTGGTCCCTGCTTTGGTTTTAATCTATGTCCTATCTTTTCTTGGTGACATTGATATCCGAAACCGTGGTTTTCTCTTTAAATGTGTGTTCAGATCCCACCCATATTGTGCACTGGGCAGAAAAATGTTACTCCGCTACGACAAAGGCTGGGTCCCAGGGAATGTGGTGGTCTGTAGGGAGTTCCATAAGCTTTGGGGTTCCAGTAGACTATCGCCTGTCCATGGGATTTCAGTCCCCTAAGGCCAGCTTCATGTGCTGTTAGTCTTCAGGTTAAATGCAACACACTGGGAATGTCTATGGCCATGAGTCCAGTCTTGTTCAGCTCTTAAAGGGTGTCTTTTGTGTGGGCAGATGCATCATCACTTTATTAAAAGCAGAAGATAGTGGTCATTATTTTGGTGGGGAGTAAGCTAAAAGCTAGAACAAAAATGTCATTTATAGTGGAGCCTTTCTGTCAAGCCAGAAATCTGTCAAGCCAGATGTGATGAAGGGGCTAATCTACCCCCCACCCTTCCTATCCAAATGGGCACTGAATTGACCAACTATGTGACCTTGGCCAGAGTCCTCCCTCCTCCGGTGTTTCCCTATTGCAAGGCAAGTTACCTGCCTCATGGACTTGTTTGGAGGGTCACATGATGTCACATGTGAATTGCCCAGCAGATGTGCAGTGAGGGCTTCCTTTTGTCTTCTCTGGCTTTTTATAGAGGGATGCTAACTTGAGCAAGGCACATTGTTATAGAGTAAAATGTTTGTCTCTCAGTGTTTTCAAAATTGATTTTTGGGTAGTTACTTGGAGCTGACAGTTTTTTTGTTCACCCTTGGGAAATTGGAGAGTTCTGCCTGTCCCTTATTAATGAGGTTATAAGCCCTGGCCTGGTAGCTCAGTTGGCTAGAGTGCTATCCCAATAAGCCAAGGTTTCGGGTTCAGTCCCAGTCAGGGCATATATAAGAATTAATCAATGAGTGCATAAATGAGTGGAACAACAAATTGATGTTTCTCTCTCTCTCAAAAAATCAATAAATAGAAATTTAAAAATAATGAGTAACCTTGGTGCCATTGCTTCCATATTTCCAAACAAATGGTATCTAGGTTTCTCTATATCCCCTATGCCACTCCTGAAGTAATTTCAGTCACATTCATTGAACTTTCTGTTCCTTTGCTGCTTTAAATTTAATGCCTGACATTGATAAACGCTTCTGTTGCTTGGAGTAGGCAACTCGTGAAATCTAGCCTTTAAGCATTTTGCTGCCTTTGTTTCTCTAAATCTAACATTTAGTGTAATCCTAGAAAAGCAGCCCCATTAAAGCTCTGTTTTTATTTCTTTTGTAAGCTATTGTACTATGTTTTAAACTCTGAACCTAGAGACTTTGTGTTTCTCTTTTAGAGATAAAGATTTTAACTACTTCATTCTTTATCCTAAGGTAATACTTCTTTTAATTTTTTGATATGTATAGGCATTATTTACATTTGCTTCTTCAAGCCCTTACTTATGTTATTTCAAAATTCTTACTGCTCAGAGGACTTGTAGAAATTTAAAAGTGTAAGGAATGTAAAATAGACATTTTTACTTTCAGAAAGAAAAGAATTCATAGCGGTACAGCTGGTGATTAATTGCAGTAGCTTTACTGTACTCAGTAGCTGACAAGTGGTGTAGGTGTGCTGTTCCTTAAGGCATGATGGAAAATGGTGGTAATGGTTGGTTTGGACTTAACACTACCTCTGTCTTTCCATTTTATGTAAATATAAAGCCATAGTTTTGGAAAAAGCTAGCCTTTGCGGTCTTTTCTCTATGTAAATGATAATGTGCTGTGGTAGATACTTACTTTTAAAAAATAACAGTTTTATTGAGATTTAACCCATATAACATAAAATTGACCCCTTTAGAGTGTACCATTCATTGGTTTTCAGTACATTTAGAAAATTGTGCTCCCCCACCTTTGTGTTTCAGAATCCTTGTTGTAGAGATCATACTGGAACTACTTACTGAGATTGATTTTTTTAAAGGAAGAATTGAAACAATGATTTTAAAGTGCTTAGTGCAGGAGTGTGGTGGGTAGTAGTCTTCCTTTGGCTAGTTTCGTTCTCCTCTTTGTTGCTTGTAGAACCTTCTAGAGAGACTCTGTGTCTATTAACAAATATCACTGTTGTCTTACTCCCCACATGGTCTATGTCCCTTTTTCTTGATAGTCTTTCCTGATGAGCGTTCCTTATCAGTTCATAGCGCAGCGGTTCTCAACCTGTGGGTCGCGACCCCTTTGGCAGTCGAAGGACCCTTGTACAGGGGTCCGCTAAGACCATCCTGCATATCAGATATTTACATTACGATTCATAATAGAAGCAACATTACAGTTATGAAGTAGCAACGAAAATAATTTTATGGTTGGGTCACAACATAAGGAACTGTATTTAAAGGGCCAGAAGGTTGAGAACCACTGTCATAGCACTTCTTCGTTGTACTAGTAGCTTATGGCTGCCCTGTACGAACGTGCTGTTTAATCAGTCCCTATTGATAGACATTTTGTTCCCTCTTTACCATTACAGACAACTCAGTGTGTTTGACATATTATGTATGTGTCATCTACATACAACAAACAACATGCATGGCTTTCACATTTCAGTCAGTAAGTGTATCTATAGAACAGAAACCTGGAAGCAGGATTGTTGCTGGGTGAAGTGGTCTGTACTGTAATTACTTTAGATATTGCTGAGATCATCTACCTTTTGGAATTCCCACAGCAATATGAGTGCCTGTTCCTATACCTTCAGCTAGTATGGCGAGTCAGCACCCCCGATCCCTTCCCCAGATTTTTGCCATTTGGTTGGGTGAGAAGCACATCTCAGTGTAGTGTAATTTTATTTTATTTTTGGCAAGCTCCTCATAACCTCTGCCCATCTCTGTTGGATTGTTGATCTTTTCTTTATTGTTTTTTTAGGAGTTCTTTAAGTTTCAAGGAAATTGTGCTTTTGTCTTTAGAAGTTGCAAATATTTGTTGTCCAGGTTTTTTTTCTTTTCATTTGGACTTTACCATGCAGTTTTAAAAATATATACATATATATTTATCAGCCTGTATGGCTTCTGGGTTTTGTGTCATGAGAAATGCTTTATACATTATGCATTGCACATATTATTATACATATGCATTATACATTATACAGACATTCCCTGTGATTTCTTCTGGTATAGAACTTGTGTGGTTTCTCATTTTACATTTAACAGATCCGTCTGGAATTTATTATGGTGTAAGGTACAAAGCTAGATTTATATTTCCAGATGACAACCCATTTGCCCTAGTGTCATTTGTTGAATAATGCATCTTTTCACTCCAGACTTGAAATAACTTTTATCATTTGCTGCATTTCCCATATATATTTGGGTTTGCTTCTAGACTATATTTGGTTTCATTGATGTTTTTATCTGGATGACTAATTTGTCAGTTTCATTGGGTACTTTTCAGTTATCTGTTTTATCTCTCATTTGTTCTGTGGA